GTGCGTCTTACCTGCGGCGCCGAGGCTTTCACGAAACAGAATTGCGCAAGTCAAAGAGTACAATGTGAAACTGTCGGTCGAGTTGCGCTGTCTTGGCGAAATTTGACGAGACGCGATTATCGTAGTTTGAGGGAGGAGACGTTTTATGGATGTTAATTTGTTCGTTAGCTCAGTTAAGATGTTACGTGTGTTACAAGTAGTATGTAGTTAGATTAACAGGTGATCTGGAATTAGAAGATTAATGGTGTGTTTATAGATATACAGATGGCGAAAGAGACTTTTAACCCTTTGACGAATGTCGACATTTCGGCGAGATGAAACGTTCAGATTCGGAAGACTAAGTCGCAGGCGAATGATTTAATCGCTCGAACAGCAAGAGATTAGCATGTAGCTTCTGTTTTTGCTATTATTTAAGCAATTAATGTATAATTTAGCTTCATCTGTTGAAGATTTCATTCATTTCAAAGAATCTTCGTCTGCAAAGGGTTAATTCAGTTTTCCAGGGTTCAGTTCGCCACCTGATTTTCCTCTGATAATCACGGCCGTAGGTTAGCCATTGCTAGTTGAGTCGGGCTCGCCGCAGTAATTCGATTCGCTGGACGATCACGATCGCGAAGCCTGCACGTGGAACCTGGAACCCGTGGAAAGGATACTTTCCCCGGCGACTGTACCCGGCGGTGCTCCGATGCACCGCGGAGATGCGCGCAGCCGGTATCCCCCCACAAAGGATTGACAATAGCAAACAGTTTAATGTCCCGTACGTTTATTGTATCTCGGCTACCGTGGCTTTAACTTCCATCGGAGGAATCGGAGAAAGGGTGAAAGGATGGGGAGCGCGAGCGGGATAGAGCGAGAGAAAGAGGAGAGCGGAATGCCGGGACAGATCTGTTATTCTGTTAGACTCTGCCCGTTCGCCGGTGACATTTGAATGCTCGCTCGATTTCACGAGTCGCCGAAGGGAACGCCGGGAGGAAGAGGAACACCGGGAGGGAGAGAAAACGAGAACTTCCATATCTTTTGCGTTCTCCGTTCCAGCGGTCTGCGATCTCTCTCCCCCTCGCCTCCCCCACAGTGTGTTCCAGCAGCTCCGCCTCGTATCTCGTGCGCCTCCGGCCTCCTCGAAACGCGTTTTCCCCGCGAATTCTCGGCTCGAATCGCGCGGCGTTCGGCCCAGATGCGCCCACGTCGCCCGGGAAAAGAGGAACGGAGAGGAACGGAACGGATAGAGAGAGGACTCGCCGTAATTACCGCGGTATCTTCGAGTCCAGGCTCCTTCTGGGCCGCCGAGCAGGGTGAAGGTAGAGAAACGGAGAGAGCGAGAGAGAGAGAGAGAGAGAGAGAGAGAGTGTGCGAGAGAGGGTAGGGACCGCGGAGAAATTCCTGCGAGAGAAGAGAATCCAGCGGTGATACCGCGCCGCTCAAAAATCCCGCGGAATCTCGAGAAAAGGCGAGTGGCCGTTGCCGCAATTGGTCATTGGGCGATTTTTGCCGGCA